TCTTTATATATGAAAGACTAGCGTTGCCCGCGACTTTCTCCGTATAGAATATTAATTTTAGAAAATTTTTGTTTTGTTTCAATTTTCCAAAATAAAACTAGTCTAGTATGTTACTCCTCAGTACATCAGCTACATACCATTGAAAGTCCTGCCAAATTGGTCCAGCCATTGCAGAGATCAGTCAGTACAAAGAGAAAGACAGAAAAAAACTGTAAAAAATATTTTAGTATGAGTATCGTATTATATTCTTATGTGTAAAATAAAGGTTATTTTAATATTACAAACATACACTCCTATTTTATTTATCTGTATTATATAGATGAAATATGTTTCATTTATTCAAAAACATGGTATTCTACATTATTTAAAAATGCAAAGATATTTATTTCTATAGACTTTTACTATTATTTTCGGAAATAAGGTTTGCAGATTTGTAAAGAATAATCTGAAAACCAATGTTTGTGGCTTCAAAAATACACAGAGTATCGTCAGTCCAGATCGGAATAGCTTCCTTTTCGTAGAATAGGTAGTATTGGATTTTTAGTTCGGACAAAAGTGTAGAACTTTTCGATTGGATTTTGTATTTCTCAGTAGTAGCAGTTGGTTTAGATATTCAGTGTATTATGACTTGGGTATACACATAAATAAAATAAAAATAAGAATTAAATAAGATAGATTTTTTTTTTAAATGGGAAAATCATCGAATGACTGCTCCCGCCTGGGTGAGGCGGAAGGGAGTGTCAGAGTCTTACTGACAAAAAACCACCCCGTTCCTTCTCCTGCACGTCGAGCCGGAGCCCCGGTTACCCGTTAGGTTCTCCGCGACAAATAAGATAGATACGTCGAGGTGGCCCGAAGGTTTAATACGCTTGCTTTTCATGCACGAGAGTGGTGGTCCAAAACCTGCCAATGGCAAGTACCAATGTGACGTTTTCCGAGTTATATGTGCTTTCTAAGATTATTTAAATACCACTGACAAATGGTGAAGGAAAACATCGTGAAAAAAGCTGGTTATAATTTCTAATTATAAGTTTGAAATCGCCAACCCGCACTGGGCAAGCGTGGAGATTTATGCTCAAACCTTCTCCGTGTGAGAAAAAGCCTTTGGTTAGCAGGGGCTACTTATAGGCTGTTGATGTGATGTGATGTGAAAGTAGCACTTGAATTTTGATTGTGGGTCTATTATCTAGTACCAGTACCAGTAGACCAGAATCAGCGTACAGTGCTTCGCGTTCCGCGCGCGCCTCGAAGTGCCATCAGACCACCACGGATGGGGCCCAATGGGGCTGATGCCGATACGGAGTCGCGGAAAACCTAACGGGTTGCTGGGGCTCCGGCTTGAAGTGCAGGAGTAGGAACGGGGTGGTTTTTAGTGGTAACAGTCTGACACTCCCTTCCGCCTCACCCAGGCGGGAGCAGCCATTCGATGATTTCCCAACTTTAAAAAAAGTCTTTATTTCTATCTAATACCCAATTATTTAGGAAAATATACATTATTACCTACAAACAATTACCATATTAATAATATTGTTCTTTACAAGCATTATTAAAGTAATTCCAGGAAACCACATTATTTTTTCAAGGCCTAAACTGTTTCAAAGTCGGGTAATTAAAATTTGTATTCTAACAAAGTTCTTTGTATCTTCGAAGTTCATTAACAAAGGGAATGTATATATATTTCCTTGTTTGAACAACCGTTTGTTTGTGAAACTTTTTAAATATTCATTGGTGTCAACTTTAAAGGAGAACATGACAAAAGGAGTTTGTTTTTAAGTTCTTTATGGTTATTGGTGTTTTTATTGTGTTTATGTATGTCTTCTTTTGTGGTCGTATATGATCCATGATAACCAGCTCCATCTTTCAACAACAGCCTGTTTTCATCCACTGCTGGACATAAGCCTCTCCAATGGCATGCCACTGAGCTCGGTCTTCAGCTCTACGCATCCAACCACTACTGGCCACTTTGCGTATATCGTCACTCCACCTAGCTGGAGGGCGCCCTACACTACGTTTGCCTAGAAGCGGTGTCTACTCCAGAACACGAGCTCGCTCTTTACATGAACATTATGTAGGGCAAGTTCATCTGCCCGCGTCCACCCGTTGGCGTTCATCTTACGGAACCCTCTTTAAAAGTTCCCGAAAATAAGCAAACTATCACCATATAAGTAGTATTCAATAAACATCTGTTTGATCATTTTAAGTTTTTAATATTTTACATTCAGGGCGATCCAAAATTGGACGCGAACAGGCGAACGTTAGTAAGGTGGACGCGAACAGGCGAACTTACCTAATTTAACTTGTATAACTTGAGCGTCGAAATCCTTATCTTTACATTTACTCCTCTATCATCAATTCAAACAGTGACATGCACGAAGCTGTCAGTTCCGATTATCAAATCTGTGACAAGCGATACGAGATGTCAAACCCAAAAGTTTGACACTGGGTCAACACAAAATTTTGTGTGTGTAGGTTTGTTATAGCTAAAGTAAAAGATAGTAAAGGATTCGACAAGACAGGACAGGCCACTATTTCTACAAAATTTGGCTCTTGAGAAAAAGAACAAACATTACTTGGAAGACGAATAAAAACACCCAAGTAACTAGAGTATAAGAGAATAGAATGACATAGTCTGCAAGATCGTGCAGCTTATCTTTGCAACATCGTAAAAGTAGATCGAGGGAAATAGTTGCAGCTGTATAGAAGCATATAGAACGCTGTAGCAAGGTCACAGCAGTGGGACGTTTTTTATTTGATAGAGAGCAGCTGACACAGTGATGTCGAGTGAATGAATCGATATCTTGTGATTCGATTTTAATTGTTTTGCTACAAAATATCAGTGATTAAGTAAGTTTATTGTGTTTTGAATTTAGAAATTGTGATATTAAAGTTCATAACACTACATTAAATTTTGGTAGAACTGATTCTGAGCGGGACAGACAGAAATGTTGTCCCTGTGAATGTGATGATTTGTGAAATCATAATTGTATTCTTTATTT